TAACACAGAATACATTGGGATTAAAGACTTAAAAACTATTCACCATTTCAGCCATTTCAGGTTGGATTTGAAGCATCGAACAGCGGGCTTGAAAAACCGGCTGATGCTTTTCCCCTGGTACTTCTTCACAAGTTCGTATGACACGGCAGCAACTGCCAGACAAGTTAGGACTACGAGAGCGATGGCCCTCTGGAAATTCAGCACACAGGCGGCAATAAAGTACGCCACATATCCTGCAGGGAAGAGTATAACATGAGCTACTTGTCATAACTGAACTAAACATAAACATGTACATAAGTTCTTGCTGCACTAGTTTTCAAACTTTTTTTCTGTAACAAGTACCACATCAGCGGATTCCAAGTACCACCGAACTATTAAATACTTCAAAAATAGTACAATTGTAGGACTTGGAATTATTTAGCTTGTTGTGTTAGGCAGAACTAGTTCCACCAATAGTACTTTTATCATATTGTCTTACCAAATAAATCTCTGCAAAAGGAATAGACTTTGTTTATTACCTGCTCCGAGTATGCCCAGCACAATGTACTTCAAGATTTTGGAGTGATCCTTGACATAACGCTCTGTGGCATTAATTGGCTTGGAAATCTTACTGAAAGATTAAACAAATAAAACAAACTAAAAACACAAGCATGTTACATTTTCTTTAATGCTCTCTTCAGTGATGTAAGTTTTCGTGATTTGGATGTACTGCACTTAGCTGTTCATGTTATATGAGGCAACAGAAAACTTGTGCAGATTTTTATATATATAAATAAAATCAGCCACGTGCTAAAAGTGTAAACTAGACTTCATAGGCATAATAAACATTTACATCCAGGAGGACTCGCTAATTATGAAGCAGTTTCTATTTTAGCAACACAAAACTTAAATTTCATAATCGGACAAACCTGAGGTATGATCCTAGTTTCTTTCCTGATTTTTCAGGCTGACTTTTGGTGCTGTTTGTGTCAGTAGTTTTATCCTCCTAGCAAGATAAAGGCATTTTATGAAAGCAAAAAGAATACGGTGTTACTTTCTTTGACTGATAGTGAAATAATGACTTACCCAAGCTTCATAAGCGTGGTTGTCGATGCCATTTTCAGGGTTTTGGCGTAGATTTTTAAGCTTGACACTGTTTTCGTCCACTGAAAAACAGAATCATTGTTTACCAGCAGCCGGTGTGAAAAGCAGCTTCAACTTGAAAACACACAGGAATGCTTTTTTTAGGCTGAGCCTCTGTGAACTCTGCGAGATAAAGCAGTTTCAAAATAAAGCCTGCCAAGTCCTTAGGGTTATCATGCAACCCAAAAAAAATCCAGGTGAAAGTACTTACAAAATACAAATATATTGTTTAATTAAAAGAAAAAAACAGAGCTAATGGCTTACTTATTCTGTGTCCTCCCAAACCGAGCTGTCAAATGCTGGACTGTAAAACACACCACCAGGAAATATACTCTACCCTGGAAGCATGCTATTATTAATTAACAGACATGATTTCTTTTCTCTCTCTTTTTTTTTTTACTGCTTTTTGAGGAGGCGCGAGTCAGAGGTTGGAGTCAGCGTCACTTGGCAAAAATGACAGAATGAAGCTTACAAAGCAACACATGACTAAACATCATGCTGACTGTGTTTTTAACTGGGCAAATTACTAAAACAACAAATGATAAGATGAAAAGTAAATGATGAATCATGGAGAGTTGTTATTTGTTGGTTGATTAGTTTTGAAGGAGTAGTTTGAAGGCATACATCCATGACACGCTATTAAATATTTTTGGGGGGGCTAAGGGGGGGTTGATAAAAAGAGTATAAATCCCAATAGGTTCTTAAATAAATATATTACAGTTTTATTACCTGGAATACAACACAAGAAACATTCACTCTCCTATTTTTAGGGAATGTCAGAAGATTATTGGAAGTATGCTGCCAGTGATTCAAGTGTGTCTGCACTCTATTACAAAACCATACATAATAAGCACAGATAAAATATGAAAACACTGGAATGAAATGACTGAAACAATAAGTAGCGACATTACTGGTCTGCTGACTTGAATACATTGCAGCAGTCTGTAACAAACCTTCACCATGCTTTGAATTTTTTCATATGTTAACAATCATAAACTTCAGTGTATTTTATTATGAGTTTTTGTAGTCATTCAAAAATAATACAAACCTGTGAAGTGGATGGAAGGTGCTCCCGAAGTAAAAATCTGAAAGGTGTGGCATGCATTTGTATTGAGTCTCTCTTGCACTTTATTCTACAATTGTTTTATTTCACCTACTAATAAAACAGTGTCCACCTGTTGGTAATTTTACTTCAGTACTTCAGAGATTTGATTGATTGATTGATTGATTGATTGATTGATTGATTGATTGATTGATTGATTGATTGATTGATTGATTGATTGATTGATTGATTGATTGATTGAAAACTAACTTGAGCACACCATGCCCAGTGTTAAACATGGTAGTGGCAGCATCTTGCTGTGGATGTGTTTTCTTAGTGAGAGGGAAACAGAAGATGGGTGGAGCTAAACAAATGCTAATCTTGATGAGGAACACCTATTATGGACTTGAGACTGGGATAGATATTCACCCACCAGCAGGATAACAACCCTAAACATGCAGCCAGAGCTACAATCTGTGTGTTAGAATGACCTCGACCAAAATCTGACTGAGCGTTTACAAGGTAAAGATGGATGTTTACTGACATCATGTGTTCAGTCCGACGGCCCTTGAGCTATTATGCAAAAGAACGTCAACAAAGCTGGTAAAGACATACCTTAAAAAATTTGCAGCACTGATTAAAGAAGCAAAACTATTACAACAAGGATCTGAATACAACTTCACACCACACTTTTCAGGTTGCTATTTGCTTTAAATTTTGCAGAACAATTTTGGTCAAAAATAAATAAGTAAAAGTTACAAAAACATTCATTCCTCTTGACAACTGAGTGCAACTTTTTTAGGTCCATCACATTAAAACACAATAAAGGTTTGTAGCCGCTAATTAGCAAAAAAAAAAAAAAAAAGTAAAAAAGTTCAAGGTGTGCGAACACTTTTCAAGGTATAGCTGTTTATTGTTTCTGAACTGTTTCTAAAACATTATTACACCTCATAAAATTCTGTTTTGTTGCAAAATGCAGTTTTACCATGGTTCATAACACTCAATGTGGACACATGCCTGTCTGGGAGACTATATTAAATGATTGTCGACGCTTAGAAAGTGCCACTTAGTTGTGTCTGATTAATATTTAGAGAGCCTTTGAAATGCTTAAACCTATTACATGAGATTAATGATCCATTAAAGGTTTCAGCAACAGAACCATTAAACTCAGGTCTGGTAATTTTAAATATTTTTTTCATTATTCTTGCTAAATTATGTAGCTACAAACAATCTGGAACTGTAAATACTCAAGCCAATGATTTGATGAGCACTGGACACAAAAAGAGATGAGACAGTAGAACAAATAAGACAAAATTAGGATATTACTACTTTGCTATGAATTAATTTATTTGTAATATAGGCCTAATGTCAAAAATAGTGGCTGAATTTGCAAGCAGTGTATTTTTTCCATAGTGTGATACAGCTTGTTTTGTCTGATTCCAGGGAACTAGACGTGTTGTGTTTCTGCTCTAGCCACTGTGGCTAGCGGGAAGGGGAACACGTTGTTAATAATTCCCTCAGTTATGTCTTGCAGGCTTTGTCTTACCGACATCTTGGTTAAAATGCAAAGATTTCTCAAGTCATAGTTAAATTCAAGAATAAAAAGGGTGTTCTGCTTTATCAGAATTTATTACCCATCAATCTTGGATCGTCTTCTTGGTTCGCTAAGGTAACAGACAGATATCCCTCTTGTTATAGTTCAAACTGAGGGCATTATATAAAAGGTGATATTAAATTCCTCCAGAGAGTTCTAGAGTTGCGCCTGGGTCTTTTTGAATTTTATTTATTATTATATAACACAGATTAAGAAGAATGTGTAAATGTACATTGGCAAGGAGTTGGTAATATTCTGACGCTGCATGTCCAGTTGTTTTTACGAAGTCATTATTACTATTACCAATAGATTTTCTTGTCTTGTTATGAGTTAGTTTGTAACCATTTTGTCTATGTAATGAAATGTATTTGTTTTCTCTTTAGTACAGTATATTGAACAGGCACATGAATATTATAACTTGGTTTTCATTACAAATTTTTGATAAATATTGAGTTGGTATTTAATTTAGAGAAAGGGTAGGACTAAATAAGTGTTCACTTCTTCCTACTCTTCTTCAAACAGAAAAGTAGTGGTAAGCTAATTATTTTTTTCTTGGTTATATATGCACATGTTTTCTCTGTCCTATGCTTGTTTCAAATTAAGCACTGAGTCCCACCACTTCATAGAAAACTGATTTCAGCCATTTGTTTCCAAGTTCTAGTTTCAGTCATGATCAATATTTCTTGAGTGTATGTGAGGGTGGGAAATTATTAAACATATAAATTAATAGCTTAGCTTTATGGCACAACTCTTTCTTCACCAAGACAGACCAGAGCAGCAATAACAATATGGCAGACAAAGCCATATTGTTATAACTTATTGGCTTTGTCTATTCATTTCCAAGATGCAACTACTAAAACACCTTTGCTTTAAGGAGAGACTCATTCACAACCTGAAGGGTCCACCTTTTTCCCCCCCAAGTATTCTGCTTGTTACTGAAGGAATATATTTCTGATTAAATAATCCTTGTTATAGAAATGTATAATAAAGCCTTAAAAAAAAGAGGAAAGTCACATGCTTAATGTGTAAAACACAAATTTTAGTTAATCATCATGTTATATTTCAAAGCTTCCTTTGGTCAGAAATTTATATGGGTAGAAATGGCTTATTTGGCTTCTATTGGCCACAAAGAACTTATCTATTCAGAGTCGCCTACATGTTGTTTGTATCCAGGTTTAAAATGTATTTACTCTTACCTACCTAATATTCGAGAGCTACTGCCGTGTGTTTCAGCGGTTGAGGGGAAGGAAGAAGTTAATTGATTTCTTAGCTTCCTCTTCTCCTTCCTTGTGGCACCCAGTTTCTCGTTTTGCCTGTAAGTCAGCGATGAGGGTTTGAATCACCCAAGACGGAAAAAGGAAAACCAAGTTGACGTTAGCAGCGTTTAGCATAGCTTAGCTACAATACCCTACAGCAGTATGAACTTTGTACTATATTTAAGTTGCTATATAACAGCATTCTAGATCGTTGGGCACACGAGTATCAAATGGTAAGCGTGATTTGCATAAATAAGTAAAGTATTTAAGTGCTTAGCTTAAATGTTTTCGCTTTAGCATGTTGTTGTTGGCTAGCTAGCCTGGTTTCGATACGTTTTAGCTAGGTACTATGTTAGCCAACTCACCTCGCAGCCTGTGCATTTTTGCCCCAATCGTACTGTCATTCTTTAATGTTTAAGGAATGTGTTTTACGCTAATGCATCTTACATTTAAAAGAAAACTTACCTAGACGTGTTGGCTTTGCAGCTAATGCTAATATTAGCACTGGAGTTGTTTTTAACCTTTAAGACAAGTTATATTTTTTGGAGTGTAGTAAGCTGAAGCCATTGTGAAAATTGAATGAGTCTTGTATTGTAATTTAGTGCAAATTTCGGATGTTTTCCATAGGTTTATGAGAATGCAGAGACATGGGTGACATGAAAACCCCAGATTTTGATGACCTTCTGGCAGCCTTTGACATCCCAGATGCCACTGGACTGGATTCTAAAGAGGCCATCCAGGAAAGCCACGAGGAGATAGATAATCAACTAAAACACTCAGTAATCTGTCTGGATGACAGCTTACTCAGTAACCCAGATGCCACTACAGCAGATATTCCTCTTGTTAGTGTTATAGTGAAAAATACAAGTCGACAAGAATCACTTGAAGGTTTCAGTGACCGGCTTCATTCAGTTACAGCGTTGCAGAATGGATTCAAGGGACAGGAGGCCTGCGTTAAGCCTGTGGAACCATCCAACACAAGTTTTTCTAATTCATTTCAAGCTGATTTGAATGGGGAAGGTTCAAGAGAACTTCCTGGAGAAATTCCCCTTCAGCAGAAACCTGATGAAACAGCAGTATTTTCTCCATCACTTTCCCATTTTAGTCCTCCCTATAGTCCTCAGACAGAGGCATTGTATAGCAACAACCAAAAGGTTTCAAAACAAGAGGGGCCTTGTTGTCTAGAAGCTCGGATTTTGGCAGAACCTTTAGTTCCAGGCAGGGAACAAAAATCAGATATTTTTTTGTTCGATGCGTCTCCCAAGAACACTAAAGAGAGCACACCAGAAAATGGCAGAAGCAACGATCATCTCTCTGATAGCTATATCAGAGGTGAAACAGAGAACACCACTAGAGCATGTTGCCCATTTACTTCTTTAAGCAGTGAGCAGAACTTTAAAGAGGCGGAATCCCAAAACACAGAGGATGTTACCAACTCTTATTCATCTGCCAAATTTCAAACATCTAAATTGCCTTTGTCTAATGAGGCTCCAATTGCTCCAAATACTAAAAAGGATCCCACTGAGACAACTGATCCCACAGAATCGTCAGCATCGAACAGTGATTGCGTTAAAGCTAATAACATGGCAGCCATATCCCCAAGAAGCCCCAGGAGTCCGAATGATGTAGTGAAACGGTTAATGAAACCCTCTGATAGCCCTGTAAGCCTCTGCAGTGACAGCAGTGGCAAGACATCCCCTGCAGTGGCATCTGTTTCATCCCCAGCCATACCCAGGGTCAGAATTAAGACTATTAAAACCACTTCTGGTCAGATCAAACGCACAGTGACCAGTGTGCTGCCAGACTCCGAAACAGACGAGATTCATTCTGCTTATGAGTCCTCGCCGTCGCAGAGTATGATCAGTGAAGACTCCTACTGCAACGTGTCCCCTCGTCAATCTCAAGCTGTTGATTGCAGTCCTGGGAGTAACCCAGCAGCATGCACATCTTCACCCAAAATGCCCAGAAGGTCGGAGGAAAAATCGAGAGGTTTTAGGACAGGCTTCCACAGGAGTAGCCGCGCTGTCCAGCGATCCGTTGCACACGATGCGCAGAAACCAAAGAGAGCTTCATCTACGACAGGTCTCACATCAAACACAAACTTCCTTCCAAAAGCAATGCACTTGGCAAGTCTAAATTTGGTCCCTCACAGCGTTGCTGCTTCAGTTGCTGCCCGGCCCTCGTCCCATCAACAAAGTCAAAACATTCTTCCCTCCTCGGTTTGCAGCACTGTCCCTCTGGTGCATCAAGTCAAAACAGCCACGCCTTTCCCCCGTTCATCTGCCCCGAACACAGCTGCAGGAACCCTAAACAGGCTTTTGACAAGTGCCAACCCAGTGCCTGTATACGTGCCTAACCTGAGCCCCCCACCAGAGTGCAACATCAAGCTTCCGCCTCGCGGCTATTGCTGCCTCGAGTGCGGGGACTCGTTTGGCGTCGAGAGGAGTCTGGCGTTTCATTACAACAGGAGGAGTGTCCAGATCGAAGTAGGATGTACACACTGCGCAAAGACCCTGGTTTTCTTTAACAGGTGCGCCCTGTTGGCACATGCACGGGAGCACAAAAGCAACGGCAGCGTGATGCAGTGCACGCAGCTCCATCTGAAACCTATATCAGAGGAGCAGATGTTTGTACCCCTGAGCTCTGAGTCGGCGAACACGGGCCCGTACCCCTCGACGTTCGTCTCACCAGTCAGTGAACCCGTCATGCCCTTATACCCAGACGGTGTGATTCGCAACAGGTTCCGTTGTCTGGAGTGCAACAAGCAGTTGCCAGACTACAAAGCGCTTGCAGGTCATTACCAGAAGATGTCAGAAGACGTGGAAGGGCTGGTGAGTAAATGGGGTGGAAAAGTATGAGAGAATGTGCTTTTGCGTCTTTGTTAGTGTCGATTAAATCAAGAAAAAAAAAAGGAAACAATAATGTGATCAAGTTTTGAAGGCCGAACTAGATTGTAACGGCTTTAGAGCTAGATGTTAATTCAAATATAGTGCCAACCTGTTTAGTGCAATGGAGTCGTTCATCTATAGAAGGCATGAGTCAGAGTGAAACCTTCCCTTGTGACGGCCTTGAGTAAAAATACTAAAATTTGATGTTATAAAAGATGTTAATACAAAAAATTTAAACATGTACAGTATAATATGATGTAAGTGCTTTTAAAACTGAAGCAATTACCCCTGCTGCTGACAGTTTATTTACCATTTATTTATTATTTTGATGTAAACTCAGACAAAGATTAATATTTATATAAACAGTAGCTTTGAACTAACTTTTTTTTTCATGGCACATTATGTGCTCTTTTTTTTACCATTTTGTTGCACAAGTATAACAAATTCATTTTGGCTGTTTAATTAATCGGGCCATCTGTTCAGTTACAGCCTGCAATTAGCAGCTTAAGTGATATATTGCTCATCCCTTACTAATCGTAGCAATTATAAACAATGTCAGCTTAATAAAGATGTTGCCCTTTTCGTCAGTAGTTTCCAGGACCAGCAATATTTCCTGAAGAATTTATGTTTGTTGCAAGTGTGGGGAAAGTATAATAGCTTTTTTTTCAGACAGCTGACCAGCTGTGTGCAGCAGCTGCTTTTGGGAAGCAATATTATGGCACTTCTGTGCTTTATACAAAACTCCAGGCAGTCGTTGAAACTATATTTTTTTGTTTTCAAACTTTGGCAGACCTTGATTCCGGTCTTCAGTCTATTCATATTCTGTGGTTATAGTAGGCATTTAAAAACATTCTGTGGTTAAGCTGCGTCACAGATAGGGGTTATGTGCATGTTTAGCTCCTGTAACATAAAAAAAATGTAAATCATAAACTTATTCCATAAAGTTGACGTATCCATTGTTTATGTTTACATTTTTAATACATTTCATGCTCTTTTTTCCCCTCCCCTTTGCCCTCGTCTTTCATTATGACAGATTTGTAAAGTTTGCTCAATGTTGTTGCCAAACAAGTGCAGCTTCAGAACTCACCAGCGCCTCCATGCCCACAAATCCCCTTACTGCTGTCCTGAGTGCGGCGCCCCGAGTCGATCTGCTGACATCCAGAAGCATGTCAAGGAGAACTGTCTGCATTATGCTCGCAAGGCTTGGTACAAGTACGTAGGCTAAAGAAGCAATAATTTTTCTTTTAAATTCACAGTAAGATGTTATAATAGTGTTTTTAAATATATTTTCTTCCAGATGTCTTCACTGTGACATGGTTTTCAGAACCCTCCTTGGACAAAAGACTCACGTTGAGGAGAAACACTGCGAGGTCTTGTACAAGTGTTCAGTCTGTCCAGTTGCCTTCAAGACCTCTGACGGCTGTGAAGTGCATTTAAAAAATAAACACAAATCTAGCAGGCAAACTCCTCAGTAAGTTAACTGCAAATGGTCTGACAGTTCTAAGTTGTACTTTTCATTTTAAGAGTTGTCAACACATTTATTTGTTTGTATTCTTTGCAGGTTGGTGTTTAAGTGCTCCTGCAAGGCACTTTTCAATAAAAAACACAACTTTTTTCAACATTTTCACGAAAACGCCAACAGGCGAGTCACTTGTGTGTTCAAGTGTCCAGAATGCAACTCTGTTTTCCCACAAAAGCGGCTGTTGATGCAGCACTTCAAGGTTAGTTCCAAACATATTGCTTATTATTATTGTTATGAAGTTTGCAATCATTTTCCTTTTTATAATTGTTGTTTTCTTTTTGTTTTGTTTTTTTTAACTTCCAAAATTTGTATACCTTTTTAAATATTGCAAGTTGTACTAAGGAGAGAAAAATGTAATCACAAGTTGCAGGTGTTCTGTCCTGTTACACTACTGATTCTATTCATACAAGCATTTTGTGACCATTTTCTTTTAGCTTAATTTATTATAAAGTATAAGGTATGGTGTCTTTAACTGTAATGAGTGCTTTCCTCTGTATGTTTTGTCATCTGGCAGAACGTGCATGTGGGAAATATGACGGCAGACACAGAAAAGGACAGTAAAGAAAAAGAAGGGCTGGATTGGTTCCCAGAGTCTTATCCTGTCCAGCGGGAGAAGAGTCACATCACTCGTAAAAACACCGACAGTCCAAGGAAGAAGTCGGAGCAGGACGCCAAATCTCGCGTTAAGCCTCGGGGGTGGACATGCGGCGAGTGTCTGCAGTGCTTTGCTGAAAGAGAGTCGTACGTTTCTCACATGAAGATCAACCATGGAAAGGTAGATGTTTGACTCCAAACCTTCTCACTAAATGCTGGTCCGTCTCAGAACATTCTGACAGTTTGTTGTAAGTGTGGGGAAGGCACACACTTACAACAAAAAGAAAAGCTATATTCCGTCCACTTTCTCTGGCAACTCACAAAATAGCTGACTTAAGAGCATTCAGGAAAAGATAAATGTACAACAAACCAGATTTTTATTTGTTATTGTACTCAATGAAGTTCAGGTTTTTGGCATATTTAGGTTTCTTAATGTGGTTAAGTAGGTGCAGTTTTACAAGCTCGTCTCATTGGAACTATGTTTGATGTTTTTACGTCAGTCAATGAAGAAATATCCTTGTCGCCACTGTGAGCTGTCGTTCAACGCAGCCACCAGTCTGAGGCGACACATTCGCAGTGAACATGATGGTAAAAGAAGAATTTATTCTTGTTGGTAAGTTTAAACAACCTCAAAGTTTATATTAATCTCTTGTCTGATTTTTTTTTTGTTTTGTTTGTTTGGTTTTTTTTGGGGGGCTTTTAAAGAATTTACAGTAATATTTCAACCTTTTACCATATTCCACAGGTACTGCACGGATCCAAAGACAACCTTCACAACAAGCGTGATGTTGAAGAACCACATAAGTCTTATGCATGGAATTAAAAACCCGGATCTCAGGCAGATGCCCAAATCATCCATCAAGGAGTTCAAAAGCCCTTCAGGCAAGGTAGGTATAGATAAACAGATGGATAAATAATCAAGCATATTTTAATACCAGACAAAGATGATCCGACTAAGTAGCAAAGGCTACGTTCCAGTTATGATTTCCTTCATTGTTTTTTTATTTATTGCTCTGAAAACATCATTTGAGGACAGCTTTTTGTACTTAATCTTAAGTATTTTCTTCTGTTCATGCAGTTTTATGATTAGAAATTTTTGCGTGTGATGAAAAAAAAAAAGCCAAAATAAGAAATTTGTAAAGGGCCAAATACTTTTTAACAGCAGTGTGTTTAATTTGGAAAAAAAACTAAAAAAAAAAAAAAAAACAGTTCTTGCAGGCCAGTGCTAAAATGTAACAGATTGTAGCGATCCCAGTTTAACAGGTTGTTGTATGATTTTCTTCAGGGGATAATATTGGCGTCGCCAGTCAGGCGCAGGCAGGCTGACACCCCGGATCGCAGTGATCTCGATGCTCCTTCAGCTAAACGTCTTAAAGCTCAGTTCCGCTGTTCAAAGTGCGGTTTCACCACGGACGACAGCACCGAGTTCCAGCAGCATATACCTCAGCATAAAACAGATGAAAACACTCCTCAGTGCCTTCACTGTGGTCTGTGTTTCACATCTGTGGTTTCTCTTAATAGACATCTTTTTATTGTGCACAAAGTCAAAGATCCCAAGGAAGATGAAGAAGAAGACAAAGAAGAAGAAGAAGAAGAGGAGGAGGAGGAGATGAGAGATGTCGGTCGGTCGGTTGGATCGGCCGTGACTGCTCATGTGAATGACTATAAACCCTCGCTGGATGAGGAGCCAGAAAACCCTCCCTACACCAACACTTCAGACTTTCATTTAAAACTAAAACCTCTTTCCCAGACAGATTCAGCTTCTTCCCAGTAGTGAAGGTTACATCTGTCCCAGAAAAAGCTGCATTTATTTGTCCTTTTTTTTTTTTTTTTATGGTGTCGAGCCAAATTTATGCTTCAACGTCAGCTTGACGCAGAACCTACGCCGTGTGGCTCCCCTTTAGCTTGACATGCACCTGTCCAGAAAATAACTCCACGTCGTAGCAACACGTACCAACAGCTGCTATTGGCCCAGGTGGTGTGTGTTTACATGGATCGCTGATTTGCTCACAATTAACCCCCATGTGGATCAAGAGCATAAAATGTAAGGGGCTGTAACTGAATCGGTTTGCTCACCGGTTTGGCCGTGTTTATTTTGAGCTTCCAGCAGCTCTACCAGTCTGTGCAAGTATTCTTTTCCACATCGTCTTCTTTTTTTTTTTTTTTTTTTTTTTCTTTTTTCCTTCAGTTGGGACTGTAATCAACATTTAGGGGCTTGTCGAGTC